TCACATTTGTGTTGATTTTCATACCAGAATTCTAACCCAGTGCCTTTTGTTTCAAACGCTAAATGTATTATCCACTGAGCTACTCACTTTGACTAATAGTCAGGATGTGCAATGGGTATGAAACGCGCGTTATGCTATCAACTGTTAGCTACTATCCAAATATACTAAATATTGTGAACGTGTTAAAATATAGAGGTGACTCTTTCAGAATGTACATGTACAAAAAGATACTCATCTTTTGTAAATGACTTTCGAATGGCGTACATTTGGTACAAACTGTTCATTTTAAGAGTTAAAATATCAAACTATAATAATGGTACATACAATAAAATGATTCTATGAAAATAATTAACACAACCAAACAAATATATATTCCACAATCAAGTTTGTATCATACAAGTTATCAATAGATCACTTAACTTTCATCCATAAAATTCTTTTTTTCAGAATTTGGCTAAAAATGTTTTCAGAAGGGTTTTTGTGAAAATTGTAGTAATTTCAGCAGTTGAGATCATGAGTCAATTGAAGCTAGACCACCATGGAGAACCTGGAAGCACTGGACGGCCGTTTCGGCCTATTGCGGGACTCCTCAGCAGTGCGCATCCACGACCCCGCCTCGCGTGATTCGAACCCAGGACCTGACAGTTTCGCGCCAGGCGCTTAACCAACTAGACCACTGAGCCGGCATCTAACGGTGTCAATGTCTAACTTCAACTAATCCACGAAATTGAGCGACACATCCATCATTGTCATCAATGAGTTACTACCTCACAAGTGACCCGGTTGAACCCCACTGATCAACTGACTCATGATCTCAACTGTTAAAAATGTTTTTTTTAGTTCAGAGAACAACAGAACACAGAAGATAGTACAAATTATTCCAAATATTTCTAAATCCTTTGAATTGAACTAATATTATATAGATTGACGGTGGTTGTAGAAATACAGTATTTTGTTGAATGAACAATATGATTTTTAAAAAAAGAAATACGCAAATAATGAAACATGGTTATCGTATGTATATAAGATCACCTATTTTAACAGGTTTGTGTAAAAGATAGAACTGAAAGTTTCAGATATAAAAAAAATCATAGTTACTATCCTATAACAATCAACAACACTTGAGTGATTCCTCATATGTACTATTAAAATTAATATTTGAATACTTGTCAAACGACTATGACCTTTCCCCTGTCTCTCACTCTTTCTCTTGTTCATACATAGGATTTTCTTTTTAAAAACTGTCATCTAAATGACATATAAACAATTGTTGTCATATCTTCAAAATAGTTGACAGTTATCATTATCTTTATGGGTATATAATCTAAAGTACATAAAACATGAGATCAACTCACAATAAATTCATGTTATCATTTGACATCTGATCATGTTTCAATGTAAATCGGTTGAAAAAAATATACTTGTCAAGCATTGAAGTTCTATATGTACTTGTATCTATATGCCAATTTAGTTATAAGCCAATTTTTATTTGTTTGTTTGTTTATTAATTCATTTCATCATTTGGATTGTAAATAAAAAGCAACATAAACTTATCAATATTAACAAATAAAATAACAACTGACAATTGTAAGAAAGAAAAAGAAAACAATAACAACGAATCTGAAAAAAGAAAGAAAATAATTGACAATATTTTCTTTTAAATATTAAATAAAAGAGTAATTCACATAGATTTTGTAATTCATTGGATACTTTCCTAGTATGAAAGGATAAATGAAATAGATGTTATAGTGGTTAAGATACATTTTTACAATTTGTATATTATTTATTTACTTGCCTATAATAAAACATGGCAATTCTACAGTAATAGACATGAAAAACGACATAAAAATGAGGAATGTTCATAATAGTAATAATAATGAATATATATATTTGTGATATCCCAGTGAGTAGAAAATTGTATTTCTGACATTTCGTGACTATACTTAAGCCCCTTCTTCAGAATAAGCAAATAACCAAAATAAAATTAACACAAGTTTAGATAGTATAAATAGTACTTTGAAGAAGTGGCCTACATTAAGTCACGAAACGTCGGAAATACACTTTTTAACTCATTGGGATATCACAAATATATATATATATATATATATATATATATATATATATATATATATATATATATATATAATTTTCTACCCAATGCTCAATTGATTTAAAACTATCACGTTCAACCATGTCATTGATACCTACAAATTCACAATAACAATGATAACTTCATTGTGTCAACCTCAGTTTTATAGATACTTTCAAAACTTACATTTATGATGTTCGGATTGTGCAGTCTAATAAAGTAACTAGGATTATTTATTTCATAAAGTGTTTAACTTTTTGTTGTTGTTACTAATCAGTTTATATCACTTGAAATTGAACTCTTTATAAACTATATTATATTTTTATATTTACAGACTTAAAATAATATTAAAATTTAGAGAATAGTGATGCACAATACCCAGGAATCTATTAACGTACACAACTAAATAGTTTATTAAATAAATGAACAGTATAAAGTGAAGATTATCTAAGTAGCTTCTGGTAAAAACTGCTCGTTGTTCAAGTATATATATAATTCATTTAAAGCTTTCTAAGTGAATGAGTTATACTTGAAGGTCATAAAATAGAAAGAAAAGTTTATTCGATATCAGGATAAACACTAGGGAGAACTAAGCCAGTGTAACTGAAAGCTGTTCAGAGTGACTTGACTTTAAAGGAAAGTAAGATCACAGAAACTTTTGTAGAAATGTGGTTTTTCAAGGCCAACTTACGTTTGCAACTTCAGCCGAAAGGTATTTTGAATTGTTATTTAGTTTACTAAACCCCCGTAAACCGAAATACCGGTTGTGATCTGTCAGTAGTTACAATGGAAACACTGGCTTAAGCAACAAAATCTTTACAGACCCCTGCATATTTCCTAAAACAAAATTTAGACATTACGATATCAATTTCGCCCGGTAAGAATATTAATTACTGGTCAGGAGTAATCAAAACCTAATACTTTATCAATAAGAACTCAGCAAAAACTATTATTTAAATTCTTATTAAGATGCAATGCTTAGCTCTTTAAATAGCTTGCTTGTTACATTCCTCGTGGTGAAGGTTAGTGAAATTGTCACGTCTGCAGTACACTACTAATAAGTAGGTAACTAAATTGATAATAAATATTCAGGGCTGTTTCAGATCAGAGGGATTTAAAAAATATCAGTGCTAGATTTCAGTTTATCGCCTGTTTGTTTTTAAATTATGAGTATAGAAAAAAAGACATGGAATTTCATTTTCTGAAACCATAGAATCGAGTTATAAGGTAATACTTAACAGTGAAGGAACAGATGTACTACTACTGTTTGTGTGTATACGATATAGAACCCAAGCTCATGGCATGATTTATCTGGTTTACCACAAAACAATTTATATACAAATTTTGTGTTACAACAGGTAATGATTAGACTCCAAAGATGGACTTAGCAACTTCTGGCGAGTCTCAAACTAATAGTCGGCGGCTACGTATGCCAATTTTATGGCTGGATTTGCACATCACTAGTATTTTTTCAACCTACTCATATTTTAACGAACATTATAAGTCTGGATATGGGATAACTAGGCATACATAACACATATGCTAACCAAATAAGTTATTAGGATATGTGACTTCACCAACAGGTCTGTATTTTTATCTTGTACCCAGTATACTCAACCTTGGTATTGGTCAAATGGCGGCTCCACAATATCCCAGCAATGCTTCGAATACACTTATGACTAAAGTATTCATAAACTACGTCTGTGTTTGTTTCCACAAGCTATGTTTTACACCCATAGAGCAATGCAGTAATGCTATGCAGTATACTCGTCTCTTGGCTAGTAGACGGACATTGAAAGTTTAATTATAATGGTAACGTTAGGATTTTTATCACCGAAATAGTTTCCTAATCACATGCAAAATACTGCCCTCAAATTAATAATTCTCAAGATGTTGTATTGTAAAGAATTCTTTTGGCGAAATTCCCACTAAATGATGATAAAAATTATCAGTGGTAATAATTTTTAAAACTCCTACTCATTTCACTTATTATATCACACTTACGGAAATCTGTAAGATCAAAAGAAAAACAAGTATATTCTCAAAGAAAGTAATCATAAGAATAAAACTGTTAATCAAAATATTTATTTTCATTAGTAACAGTGGTAAACAATGAATACCATTAGTTCAACCTGGTAACCATTTCTCGATTTCTTATAATAGCCTTGAATGTTTCGAGATAACCTAAATAATACAACACAATTATATGGTTACTTGTGAATAGAAAGGTGCCTATCACTGGGTGAATCATTGAGCTAAACACTAGGAAGTTTTATTTGAATGCTTTACGAGTAAAACATGTAAATCAATTTGTTATCTTACTGAATAATGCCTACAAGGAATTTAAAGTTTTAATGTGACTATAAATGAAATGGTTCGCAAGTTCACAATCTGTCAATGAAATTCCCTTCACAAAACTAACTGAAATTATTAACTATATGATAATGATTGAGTGAGTATATGTTTGAATTAAATCTCTTTACCTATAAAGTCAACCAAATCTGAAGTGAAACAGTAACCTAATAATTAATACTCAACATGTCGATTAAAGTTTAGAATGTAGACGATCAGATTATAGCTCAATGATTTGAAGGTATTATACTGATGGCAATATCAAAGATCTTTGGAGTTCAGTTACATGTTAAATACTTGACTAACGTAACAAACATATATAACTAGTTCACAAGATAAGATTTATTTCTAAGTTGTTATAATAATTACTTCATTTAGATTATGATTTGTTAATCTATCAATAACATTTTAATTCCACGTTATTTTTTTCATAAACATTTCAGATATTTGACTTGGCTAAGATGTAGAAAAGAAACAAAACAAAACAAACAAACAACAACAATCACCTCAACATTTCCATTAAAATTAGAAAACAAAAAGAAAAATTATTCAAGTAGAAATGCGTTCAGTATTTGCTAAAAAATCTAAAACAAAATTAAATCCTAAAACAAAACTTGAACCAACCATAGAAAATGAATTAATGTTAAAATCAGAAGAGAAACATTTCACAGATGAACAAAATGATAATTTACAGAATAAATATACATTGAGAAGTAAAATTATCAAACATAATTCACTTGATAAAAGAAAATCAGGTGCTAGTTTCAAATCATCATCATCATCTCTGATGTTTATATACGTCGTGGATTAGGTGTATCAGTGACATTTGAATCAACATTACCAACACAAATATGGCAAGCATCACCAAGTCCTTCACCACCATTAAGTGAACAAATAAAAAATGATGAAAATAATCAAGGTATTAAAAATTCTACATCATCTTCATCAAATTCACAGAGTTGTGAATCATCTAATGAAAGAATTCGAATGAATTATAAGAGTCGTCATGGAAGTTTAAATAATATTCATGAATGTGATGATAGCAGTGATGAGACAAATCCATCTCGTTTGAGCTATCCTTCGTTAAGTAGTTGTACTAGTAGTGATGAAACAACAACTAGTCAAGAAAGATTAAGTCATCGTTTAAGTAGTAGTACTTCAGATAGTAGCTCCAGTTTAGATTTACGCATATTACCAAATAATGGAACACATTCCACACAGAAAATTAATGAAAAACATCACAAAGGTAAAAAAGATAGGGAAAGTGAGAGATATTCAAATCGTAAGGTTGTTAATGAAAAGCGTCGTCAATATAAATCACAAGGTCTGAGTAGCAGTAGTACAAGTAGTGAAGAAGAAGATTTGGAAGCATATGGGTGGGATGAAAAAACAATTTCTGCTTTGACCAGCAGAAATAAGACTAGCATGACATGTCACACAACCGCTTCCAAAGGAAAATCGGAAAAATGCCCAAAGAATGTAAATGAATCCCTTACAAGTCCGAAGAGAGCGTCATCTTATCAAAAATATGACTTGCGCTGGAAACCAGATATGGGACTGGCAAAATTAAAGCTTTCTTCTCCTGTAAGGATTTGCAATCAGTTTCATGTAGATTCGCCTATTATTTTTCCTCAGACATGTATAGTATCCCGAAGGTTAAACTCAGCTATCCAATCTAATTGTCCAAACACGACGAGTTTTACTTTACATCCTTTTACATTGCCTACCAACAGCTTTGTACAAAATTCTTCTCTAACCAATAGCGAACTACTAGCGGTTGTGAATATTGATTTTCGACCCTCAGCAGAGTGGAAAGAGAGATACAAACTATTAGGCGTTCGTCAGGGGGAATATGTTTGTGTTTTAAATCAAAGCTTATCAAGTCCAACAATCGCTAATTCTGTGGATGGAAGAATGAGATCTACACATGCTCAACAGAAAGTAATGTTCCCGTTGACGGAGAATAACTTTTGGTTATACGTACGTAGATGGTGTGTTGACCACCTAGTAGCTACAGGAACACCAGGATACATTCCTCGCCAAACCTGCAGAGTTTTATCGAACTGTGAGATTACTAGTCTGAGGTGTGCAAGTCAGAAGGCAAAATCGTCGTGGGATGGAAGTTCAAACAACTTCATACCATCGAATGATTCCCAAACGAATAACACTCCCGTACAGAAACATGTAGTCATGCAGACAAATGATGAGTTTAGACAAACAAAACCAGCATCAAATAAGGAGTTGACAAACAGAAGTCCGCACTCTAATTCAACATGTTCTAACCAAGTTACTGTAATGTTTACTACGCATCTTGATAAGAGAAATCCTATGTATTCATTACAAAACTTTACACCAGATACATCACAAAACTTCCTGCCACCCCCACCCCCAGGCTTCGGTTCTGGTGGGTCAATAGGCTCGGAAACAGAAGACAAGGACTCTGGAAGGGGTCCCAGTTCAGGTTCAGAATGGGGGAGTGGTCGTGGAGGTAGTTCAAATATAACACTAGATCGGTCTATAGTGGAACATACCTCAAGTGAAGTGGGATTAGACTATCAAGGTTCACAATCAAACAGACGATCGAGAAATGTTAAAAGTGCTGAGGAATCTCAGCTTGGATGGTATGCACCTACAGGACTAGAATGGTCGGATCGAAACTTTCATCCAGGTGAAGAATCTCTATCCCGTGACTCAGCGTTTCAAAGCCCGAATACAGATAACCTAGCACCATCACTACATATTACAGAAGTAAGTCAGTCTGCTGCAAATAAGAGTTCTTCAATGCAAAAAGCATACTCACCATCTGCAATAACTCTTACGACTATTACCGGAAACACTCCTGTTTTAGAAATGAGACACAATGGGACCCCAACTCTGTGTGCTCGGGGACTCCCTTCAGCATCAACAACAGATAGTTTGGCCACAAGTACAACAACTTGTACTACAGTGGTCGATATAAGAGAAGGACAAGATGAGCATACAAATAACCCCAGAGCTGGTCCATCCACTAAATATCGAGTACCAACGCCTGATCCTTCATGTTGGGAACCGTATAAAACTGTAATTCATGTGAATGAAACTAGTCTTGAAAAGTTTACTTTAGTGTAAATATGAATAAAGTAACAATCAGATCAAAATATAATGAATTATCAGAGTGCAATTATCTTGCTTACACTTCCAAATTACAGAATATATGCAATTTATTTATCACCCATAAGCAAATTTCAAAGGAAAAAATCTAATAAAAGCAAATCAGAACTAACTGTGTTTATTACTGGATAATTTTCATTTGTATTTGTTGATCTAATTATTACTAGAATTGCTGATCTGTTGATCATATGTAAATAAATTTTTTTTCGTTTTGTTTCAGTAATAAAAACTTTAACTTCGAACAAATTACTTTTTCTAATATCAGTAGGTCAATAACAACAGATTAAACTTAATTAAAAAAGACAGTACATCCCATTGACATTTTAACAGTTCTTCATCATACTACACTTCGTCAGTAATTAACCGAGCACTTGCTCTGCTTTATTATGAATCGAAGCTATATCAATCTTAATAGAAGCCTAATTTTGACAAGTCACCTTTTTGTGCCATTGTTATATCAGTGTGGTTTAATCACTCAACTTTAAGCTACTGGTTCAGGTGTTTGGAAACTCATATCTAATCTGATTAGAGGAGTCAGTTAGTACATCTACATTTCACATGACAATAATGGTTGATAGATTTTATACTAATCTATTCCTGGATTAACGAGAAACTTTTAGACTGAGAATATTTTGGAGTTCTTTCACTTATTACAGTAAATAAGGTGTTTTTTGTCATATTTTCCTAGTAGTCATTCTGATAATCGGTTTTATCACCACGAACTATTATTATTTCTGTTGTTAGTAAATCAAATTAAATTCTAGTAAGATAAACAGCAACTCACTAAAATAACAATATTTTCTTAAATAAGTAAACAACTGTACGGTTATACATCACTTCCGAGTTAGCAGAGTATATCATGAGTGATGAAAATTTCGTAGAAGACATCTCGAAAAAAAATTATAAAAGTGAAATTTGCGTCATAAATTGTATTTAACATGTTGGAAATAAGCGTCTGGAACAAAAATAAAATGCTTAGAAGTAAACAAGTAGGATGCTTTAATCTAAACATTACAGCTATCAAGAATCCAATAAAAGTGTGAAGATTTCCACACTGTTCCTATTACTAAACCATTATTTCACAAATCAGTGGCTAATTTTAGATCAACCATCCAGATATATTTCTCAAACCAACAACTTAGTCTCGAGGCAAGCAAGAAGTTAATATTCACATCGAACATTGTAAACACGATTTTATTCTGGTTTATTGGTTAATATGTTACTCTACTATGTACTTGGTGCTTCTGAAATATCGACTGGAAAATAAAAGTCCCCACTAGATTACTCACTACCGACCTACTTAATTCAGTAATTTTATAGAGCAAAGCAGTTCAATGTACCTTGCGTTACTGTCCTTTACACTCTACTACACTTTTCAATGTTAAAATAGGATAAACTTGGTGAATATCAAGTGTACCATCAGTAATAACGCTCAAATTTCAACAGTATTTTGGAATAGTAGAGTTAACCACATATGCGACTCGGCTATAATACTTAGCCACGTCATTTTGTTCGGTTTTACTATTTGTACGAACGTATACAGCTACCAGAAATATGTAGTGAAACCTCCTCCTAAAGCGTTGAAAGACTATATTCTTAGTGTTTTTGCTTCCCACAATCTAAAGAAGATGTTACGGAGTCTAATAAACTAATTTCATATCACCTATATTAAAAAATATTACCGAATAATATGTCAGTCGAGGCAACTAAGTTTTGTGAGAAAGTTAACATGTATGGAACATGTACATATTTCGACGTTCTGCTATAGTTGAATTCTTTTACCTTAAGGCGGTGTTCGACTCCGTTGGCCGTGAAGCTTTGTGACAGTGTCTATCAGTGAAAAGCACCCTAAAGTAAATGAATCTTATACAGGCTCTCTACTCGAACACTACTGGTCGATTCGAAGCTTATGAATAACTGTCATTGGAATTAGTTACTTCAAGTGGTCTTTGTCAAGATTGTACGCTTTCCTCATCTTCACTAAACTTAGTCATAGATATGCTCTTAGAGATAACACTTTCATCGTCTGACATATCAGGAATTGATCTACCGGGAGATTCACTTGTTGAATTAGAATACACAGATAATTTAGTTCTGTTTGGTAAAGACGCTGACAAAATAGTCTTTTGATAATCTTAAGCAATAATGCAAGTATGTTTAAGATGTGGTTCTCCCCCCCCCAGAATGTAAAATGTTGCTTCAAGATTGTTTCAGTTCGTTACCTAAATTAATGATAGGAAGTAAAATAGGTGAGTCCGCTGATCGCTCTACTTATTTTGGCAGTCCCACCAGTCCTGATTGTCTTATGCCTGACGAAATCTCGGCATGGATTCAGAAGGCTCGATTGGCGTTTGCCAACTAGTGTCACTTGTGATTTAGGCCAGATATGCATCTTCCAACCACAGAACGAGTTTACTGCTCAGCAGTTCGTTTCGTTCTGCTTTACCGATGTGAAACGTGGCCATTACAAATGGAGGACATACGTGCGTTACAGGTTTCCGATCATGCCTTTGAAGCACTGTCGGTATATTTTAGTACCACTGAGTAATGTCTAGGTTAGGAATAGGGTACTACGTAAAGATGGCAAATCGATTAGGGGTAATAAGTCTCCATCGACTGGGGTTGTTGGGCCATGTGTTACATACGCCTACCTCGATGGGCAATGTTTTTTTCTGATGTGAGAGTAGGCTGGAAGAAAGCTAGAGGTGACCAAGCCAAAACATGGGGTCATTCCATGAAGTCACTAACAATTGGACTTAGCCATGTTAATAAGTGCAGATTACCTGGTTGAAGTCCGCGAAATTACAGTAACCGATGGTTAGACTTTACATGAAATGGCCCAAAATCGTTTGCAATGGTCCAGAAGCATCCGTTCTTTATCTTCCCTAAATCCTAATATTCTAAATTCCTCATAACCTTTTTTGCTTTTAACTCACTGATTTATATTTTCTTGAATCGTATCTTCGATGCCTATTCTTTCCCAATACTTACCATTGATACTGTTACTTCCCCTACTATTCTGGGATTTGGCCAGACAATTTCAACGCTTTGTGCTAGTGGAGTATGTTAACTTGAACCGATGTACATACGCACCGAGTTCTACATCATGAGTGACTGATTGAAACTATAATCAGCAGATCCTGAAAACAACCTCGATATAGATGTCCCTGTATAGTCAGACTGATACCTACCCACGAAATTAGTATATTCAAAACATTCGTTAGGAAAGTTAACCTAACGAGACAACTTACCTTCCTTGAGTATCGCTTGTCTATTACAGCTTGAGGTATAGTAAACTATGGGATGCTGAACAAAAAATGATTACGATCTGGATCATTTGTAGGTCACTAGGCGTTAAGACGGCAAATGATGCATGGTTTATTACTCATTGACCAATCTTGTAAACATCTGTATAATTCCCAGAGTACGACTACAACAAATCTTTTTGACTGTATTGACAGAATCACGTCACAATAACTGTTGTATACAAAACAGATTTTCGAAGATGAGGATACAAATGGTTTTATTTCAGAGTAATGAGACAATATGATTGTATCGCCGAGAATTGTGAGGCGGTTCAATTAAGTGTATTTACAGTACCCCGTTTTCAATCTTTGGGTCGAGTCTGAACCACGCTCCTTTTGAGCTGTTACAGACAGTCGAAGAAACCCCTCTGTAATCGCCTCACTCGCACTGATTCCAGACCCCTTTACATTTGTGTTTAACTACAATCAAGACTGACGCCTTCTACAAATTTACAACTAGAATGAAGTGATTCACTGAATAGGATTACACAACAATGAAATTTATGGCAAATGACTTTTAAGGATAAAAGTTTGGTTGACTAGTAAACAATTCACTTCCTAAAATCACATAGAAGTAATTATTGAATTGAACAACATAAAACAGCATAAAGACAAATTCTGAAAAATATATTTCCTAGTAATCAGTTGTACAAACGAATCAACATTAGGCTTTACATTTGTCAATCGTTTGATGGGAATAATCACATAAGTTGGCACATGTTTGAAAAAAGGTGAGGAGAATTCCACAAATAGCTTACTAAACAGTATAAATATGAATTGATACTCCGGGAATCTTGATAACACGAAAATTAGTAATTGACTTGAAAATCTGGACTTAATTGTTTCTTTTGATCCGTTGACTGACCATTATTCAGTACGACTACATATATCCATATAGTCCAAAGTAAAC